ATGCCAATGAATTATGCAAAAGTATCCCTACATGTGGTTTGCTCTATGTGGGCTCCTATGGGTGGAAACTAGCCTCTTGAACCTCAAATGAGATGGGTACCTTTGGTTATCTTCAAAATAGGAGCAAAGGCTCTTATTTCATATGGAAAACCTATAGTCTTTTGGATTGATTTATTTTCAGTTTTTTCATTTAGGGGAATTAAATAAGTGATTTATATAATTAAAAACCATTTTAATATTTGCCATATTTCTCTCTAATTTTGGTGTATCTTGGGAAAGAATGCAGATTATTTAATACATAGTTTGAAAAACCTCTTTCTTCTCTTTTCTGTTGATAGGAATAAAGTTGTGTTGCCTGAAGATGAAATGAATTATTTCTGGACTGTACTTGTTTAAAATGCATAGCAAAATTCTGTTCAACAAAAAACCCAGTTAAAGCTATTCTTTTATTGCCATCATAATTATGCATTTGCAATGGTAGTAACATCTTCCCTTTCAAAGGCTGAAGCAAAGCGTTTATTACCACCTAAGAAAAAAACCAAAAAAATTAATAACGTCCCCCAGTCTATTTTAATTTAAATTGAGCTGAAAGGAAACTGTTAACGTCAGTGATACTTGAAGTTTATATTTTGCATTTGATACACTTAATTTATTTTTGTTATTCTGCAAATGACTGTACAAGGTTATGAATTTATTAGAAGTAGACTTGTAACTGGCATACAGAACATTTTGGAAATATTTGGTCAGTAAAAAGGCAATATCTGCTCTGGTCAATCATTCTTGCTAAAAAGTATCAGGAGTGTCATTGACCTGACAGCATCTGCTCTTTCTGCTTTTGTACAGACATCGTAGCATTGCTTCAAGTATTAAAGTATCCACACTACTTGGCCATGATGGTCAACACACTGATCATTACTGCCCTGGTTTGATACTCCCGTGAAATAAGGTGTAAGCTGGCCCGTGCCAGGGTGGCTGAAACTGTTTCCTAGGAAACCTGCTCTAAAGCCTGTAGAAATCAAAGAAACTCTTTCTGTTCATCCCAGAAAATGAGTAATGACATCAAGGTGCTTTGAATAGGTTGTTTACAATGTTGCAGTACAGAAATTTCTAAAGCATCAAGTACTTGAGTTAAAGGAGTAAATTTGTTAGGTGAAAGTATCAATAGACATAACATAGACACCCCTCTGTGCATAGGTGATAATTTTCACCTGCTTTGAAAAAGCACATTTGGAATATTGTAGGTTCTCTGCAGTTCAGCTCCTGCCACCATCTGTGATTTCTCTGGGCTGTTTCATCTGGTTTCCTCTTTTGAAGTTTAAGCTGTAGCAGGAGTTTAGTGAGGTCTCTCATGCTAAGTCTTAAGGAAGTAGTCACACAGCCTTCTGCTTTAACTCAGAAAAAGACGTGCTGAAATTATGTTTTGTTTTTACATGAATAGCAATGTGTAATGAATGTGAAAATGTGTAAGTGCAATACTGGAACTGCAGTGCTGCTCTGCTGAATATACAGCTCTTGGCACTGCAGTCCTCCAAAATGGTCTGGGTCAGGTTTCCAGGACTTTTCACCATACAGGTGCTGGGCACCCTTCCAGAAAGCTCAACAGACTCAAAACTCATGCTAAAATTAATTTGTTCACAACTTCCCTACAGGGACTCAATGAGGAAGAGGCTTCTTTTGAGCTCTCTCTTATCGATGTGTATATATGTATACACACACAGGGCTATACACGTAGTTGCAATTTAATATGTGTAATGGGATAACTTTGCAGATTAGATGAGACACATTCAGAGACAGCAAAAGACCTTTTGAGGTTTTCAAGATTTGTTCAGATCCTGTCCTGTTGCTTACTTCTGTAGTCTATGAAAGAGGGGAAATATTTCATGTAGTATTTCAGAAAATTATTTAAAATTGTTGGGATGCCTTTTTGTAATGTTTACTTATAGCCCTTTAAGACTTCACCTGGATATTTCTGCTTATCTAGTAAAAGCTTTTCACACAGTAATTTTGGGTGATTTTTTAATTTATATATAAACTATATGAACTTCAGTTATGTATGACAGTATTGAAACTATAATTCCATCTTGTGAAAATGGAAATTGCAGGAGAAAAAATGTTCAGCTGAACATCAGTCAGTCTCATGCCAGGAGCTTTAAGAAGGGGTAATGGCTGCAAAGTCCCCACATGTAGTAAATGTTCAGAAGTTCAAAAGACTGATGTCAGGCAAATTTAAATGGGTCAATCCCTAAGACATTTGATCTGTCCAAAACCAAAAAAAAAGTAGTGGTAGTCTCATGCAGTTCTGAATTTCAAAATTTCTAAAAATTTCAAGTCTTTGACCCTTAAAGATACTAAATATGACTTCGTGTTGCCCAACCTGTAGTGCATATTGTGAAATTCTTTGAATCCTTTGTTCTTTGGTGTTGCTTTCAGAAGGATTCAGGGTGCATTGCGTAGTCACACATATGAAGTTATGAGACTATCTATTGAACTACTAACAGCTTTCTCAAGCTTCAAATCTTTTCTTGGCAAACATTTCTTTTAAAGGTCTTACATGAACTGTTCACTACCTTCTTAACATTAAATACCATTTCAAACAATCCTAATCAAACATCCTTTGCACTGTGTCACTGCATAATATGAAACACGTAGTCACCTAGTTTGTATTTCTCCTTCATTATAAGTGCACAAACTTTCCATATATCTAGATATCTGCATGCTAAATAGCAAGAAAAAAACAGATGACTTTTTTGTTGGAATAAAGGAAAGGCAATAGCTCTGTTATCAGAGGCAGGCTGAGTGATAGCTTTATTTGGATTTCAGTCTATTAGTTCATCTCCATGAATGACCAATTATGATTCATCTTTCCAAATACCAGTTATTTCATAAATCCTGCTGGAGAGCACAGCAGTGGAACTGAAGAGCTGTCATGAGGCTCTGCCAATAAAGTCACTGATGCAGTTACAATATATCTGCACATAATTTAATCCGCTTGTTGCATGTATTGAAAGCATGCACTCCACTACTCTCACATTTAATATCCTTTAATTAAGGATGCTATTCCTTGTGTCTTGCATATATTTAGAGTTCTAAAGAGGTACTGTTTTTAAAGTATTCAAGGTTTTTAACTAGACCCTTCATAGCATATAGTAAAAGCCTGCTTTTTTCTTGAGACACTTTTAGCTTTTATGATGTAAGATGTTTATTTTACTTAGTCATTATGATAACAGGTGCTGAAGTTCTGGGATCTCCTGATTCTCCAAGTTAGCTTTTAATAATTTTCTTTCCACACTTGCTTTTGCAAACTGTGTCTGTTACAGAAAGTGATTCCTCGGTTTGTCTTTAAAATCAGACCCCGGGCACCCTCCACTGAGTATTTGCTTCCTTTTTTTCACTGGCTGAAAGTATTGGTAATAGCATGGTTAACTGACCAGTGAAATCTTTTCCTGCTTATGCTCTGTAGGAAAGGTAATTTTGTAATGTTGAAAACAAACTTTTGGGTAAGTGACAACATGCATGGCAAAGACCGTAGTGGTAATGTTGGACTTTTATGGATAATGTTGAAGAGTGAAAGGCTGATCTTTTGAAATGCTTTCAGCATTTCTGGAAATTAGTCCAATAATTTCACTTTGGGGCAAATATGCAAAGCATACTTGTCAGTTTTCCATGATGATTTTTCATAATCTTCTCTCCATTCACATGCCAAATAGTCTTTGAACTGATGCAAGGCAATAGTGGTGATAATAGCAGTCAAACTGCATTTTGCTTCCTTAAGGGAGGCTAGCACGTTGCCCTCTTGAAAAGCAAAAGCAAAAATAAATAACACCTTTGGTTTCATAGGAGGCATCGCACATCATACTGTAAAACTGTCTAGGCATGTCTACCCTTCTGACAACTGAAACTTGCCATACAAAGTTTTGCACTTGTCTCTTACTAGTCTGAAGACGTATGAATGAGAAAATGATCTTAATCTTTCCTTTCATATATCCTCTGCCGTAACAACATTTTCTGTGTGGTATGTGGGGAAAAACCACTTTCATATTCCTGGCAGTGTTCTGAAAGAAAAGGAAACATCAGTGTTCTCCAGTATTTGCAGAAGGTCTCCTATTGTCTCAGGACTCCGCTACTGCTACAGCGTGGTAGCATCTACCACTCTTCAAATGTATTCATAGTACCAGGAAGCAAACTGAGCAGTTGAAAATGTACTCATCATTGTGAGTTAGAAGTCCATGTTTGGGTACCATTTCTTCAAATCCATGAAAAAATGGAAAAAAATATCAGAAATAAAAAGCAGAAGGGCTGCCTTATTAAAGAAGAAAAGTTAGGTTAAGAAAAAGAATGTTATCAAAAAGAAACCTTCATGGCACTGCAACATCATGAAAACTGAACTGGAAATAGTCAAAGAATCAGCTCATAAGCAATCCACAGTCTTGTTAGATTAGACGATACTTACAGTGAAAAAGAAAGTGAAAGAAAATAACCGGGAAAAAATAGTTTGTATTTCTGACCAAATTTACTGATTTAAAACCTAAATTATTCAATATGAACAGGCTGATCAGCACTCATCTCAAAGATGCATGGGCCTTAATCTACTGAAAATGACAGCAAGATTCACTTTTCTTTCAGTAGGACGAGACTCTGGCCTAAGAGGAGCTAATGATTCACTAGCCCGTTGTTCAAAACTCCGTGTTTTAGGTCTGTAAAGGCTAAACATTTGGGCTTAGTTTCCACATATCAGACACAGTATATGCTGCTACATGTGGAATAAGAAGTTAAAATCCAAATGTTACCTTTATTTAATGATGAACAATAAAGTTACAATAAGAACAACTGGTGAACATAGAAGACAACTTGTCAAACTTAAATTTTTTATTGAAGTAGATCTCTTGTTACTGTTATTTCTAGTGACTTGGTTGTTCTGAAGGAATATACTGCGGCACTTTGCAACACAATTGCAGATGATGTTATGAGGATTCACTTAGTGAGATTTGATGGAACAGTACCTTTCTCTTAGCTTTGAGCTGCTCGTGGTATTTGTCGGATGTGTCGCCTGGTATTTCTCCTCCCCAGAGGGTAATTCCCACTATGGAATAAGTGATGCCCATGACAAGCAGTGGAAAGCAGTAGACCAGCACAATCACAATGACATGATACCTGCAATGAAAAAGCATTAAGCTGATAAGTGCTTTCAGAAGAGCTATACCAATGGAATGGGCTGCTAGAAGTCAAGAGTGCTACTGTAGCACAAAGCATCTTTTATATTGACTGGCTAGTCCTTGATGTCTTTGCTGTCTTTTTGAAGGTCTTGAATTGCACTGCAAATTTTTTTACATTTTAATGCAAATGCTTTATGGGATTTCTAGTTCAGATTCTGAACTTGCACTAGCATAAATTAAGAATGACTTAGTTATCATGATTGGTGACCTCATTGCGGCCTTTCAGTACCTGAAGGGGGCCTACATGAGAGATGGGGACAGACTTTTTAGCAGGGTCTGCTGTGACAGGACAAGGGGTAAAGGTTTTAAATTAAAAGAGGGTAGATTTAGACTTGACATAAGGAAAAAATTTTTTACAATCAGGGTGGTGAAGCACTGGCACAGATTGCCCAGAGAGGTGGTGGAAGCCCCATCCCTGGAGGCATTCAAGGCCAGGCTGAATGGGGCTCTGAGCAACGTTATCTAGTTGGAGATGTCCCTGCTCACCGCAGGGGGGTTGGACTAGATGACGTCTGAAGGTCCCTTCCAGCCCAAATGATTCTATGATTAGTGACTGCAGAATAAGGTATGTCTGTCCAGAACTAGCTGAATTGATTTAATTATTGCACAGCCAAGTATCCTAAGGGCAAGCCAGGCGTTTTGAGCTCTAGTCTGGACCATAAATGAAAGAGGAAAATAAGTATTTAAATGGTATATTTATACAAAGGCCTTGATAAGTGTCCTGTGTTACCCAACGTACTTCATATGGCAGATCTGTTGCACATAGGCAATACAGATCTTTTGCAACATAGTCATCGCTGCAGATGTAAGCACTGGGAAAAAGAAGTTAACTTTTTTTGCCTCCTGTTGGTTCCTGGTTAAATGCCATCTTCAGATAAAATCCCACTGAATTATCAGTGAAGAATCCCACTGACAGTGACCTTACTGCCCTAAAGAGAAATATCTGTGCATGGTTCCTAAAGTGATAAAAATTATATATGACCAAGGCCTCTTTCACCTGAAAGACAGCAAAAGGTCGAATTTGATGCTGGATGGTTACACAGGCTTTCAGTCTTGAACACACTGTTCATCTTAAATGCCAATGAAGACATGAAAGGGCAGATCATATTTCTATGGCTAGGCAACCACTTATTCCTGATTCTGCCAGAAGGACAAATAGGATATAATCAATTTAATTGACAGTTATTGTACACTTTCAGAAACTGGAACCAGTTATAGGTTTTAAAGTTTCGTTATTTGGACTGATATCTGACACAAGTAATTATGACAGTGTAACAGAATGAAGTGGGAAAATTCAACTCTCTCATGAAGAGATCCAGAGGAAAAAAATACCTGAAAATGTCTGACAAGGAGAGACTGGAAATACTTGCTCTCCTGGTTAGGATGAAAAGGAAGCTTGCTTTGAATTGCATGTCCTGTCCTCATTTCTGGCTGTCTCTGTTTGTATGGAAGCAGCCATCTTAAGTGAAGCAATGGTGGTAAACATGCAGCATGGGATGGACGACACTCATAGAAGTGGAAGAGAATAAACGTGTTCCACGTATCACTTAAAATGCTCTATCTTCCTAGCTTAGGAAACTTGTTTTACATTTCTGAATGATCTATGCTGTTAGTTATTCTGCATGTAGAGTACCGGCAGGATACTCTACAGCTTTTGACAAGTCCGTTGCAAGTGTAGACACACCGTGCACAAGTTTAAAAGAACAAAAGCTTACGTAAAATGCTGTTTTGGACCACCTGGCCATGCTACATAGCAAAGAGTTCTCCCAGGCATCACCTTGGTTATGGAGTATAGGCACTGGGGAAAGGCCAGCAGGAAAGCCAAAATCCATATGCTCCCAATGACCACCTTGGTCGCAGTTGCAGAGAGCCTAGGTTTCAAAGGATCAATAATGGCCATGTATCTGTAAAAGAAAGCAAAACCTGTGCATAAGAAACCTTCAGAGGTTAGGATGTATCGAGAATCAACCAAAGCTTAGGGGTGGGAGAAGGATAAAAGCAGAGATGTTTGTCTTCCTGGAGTTCTGATGGCATTGTACTCTTTGAGTGGTTCAGCCTCCATGAAGGCAGCGCTGGAAGAAAAAGAAGGTTCACTGAATATTATTTTAAAGCTGTGGGACACTTAGTTAACCATATGTATACTAGTAGAGCAACCATTTCTTAAAGAGTTAGTTAATCTTGTTACTGCACAACCTGATTGAAAGGCAACAATACAGCTGGATCCTCTGTTACTTTGCTACATAATACAGGATTTATCTCCAATTAAAAAATTAACAGCCAAGCTGTCAGGGTCATTAGTCATCTGTCCAAAAGCTATCAGAACCTAGTAAGTCTGCACACATTTATTTCAGTAGACATAGACTGAATTCAGATCGTCTGCCAAAGAGCCCCAGGCTGCAACTCGTTCATACAGAGACTGAGAGAGGAGCCATATGAGCGTTTCCTTGGGCAATGTAGAAGCAATAAAAGCACCAAGAGAAATAGATGCATAAAGCATGAAAACATCTCATTTGCTTTCTCAATTACTGTGTTCTCAGGTAGGATAGCATTCTTCTTGCTGCCCTATAATTGTATTGGCAATCCATGTATGCTGATAACTTTAGAAGAACATGCAAAAAATCATTAAAAAGTTTACGTAATTACAATTTAAAAACTTAGGAAAAAAAGCAACAGGAAGGCATCAAGACAGACAGTAAAAGAAAAACAAGTCTTGATCTCTGTCTTTTGATCTCTGTTATAGATGCAAGGAATAAGTGAGTCAGAAATTTTGTATTTTATATACTCCATTTCACATGTCATGTGTTTTTCATATTTTTCTTAGCATGACTACTGCCTTGATTTCTGGACTAAACTCTGAATTAACGTATTTTTCCACCAACTTCCCTGATCACATTATTATGTTTCATTTAACAATGGCCAAATAATGACTTGCAAAATCATTAATCATATTGATTAAATAGGAGCACTAATCAAAATTTCTTCCACTATTAGGGGAACACTGATAAATATCAGCCAGAATCACATCTAAAGAAATATTTGTACTTCCTTAAAACCAGGGAGATACTGGCTGTATGTATGTTACAGATATAGCATACTGCATAACTAACTACATGTTCTTTAATCTTACTGCCCTTCTGCAGTCATTGGTAACACTGACATTCTACACTGTGTTTCCCAAACACTGCTTTTCTGAAATCACAATTAGAATAGCAATGGTTTAGAAGCTCCTCAGGAATAACCAGGGCAAGTCAAAAGGAAACTAACAAAATTAAATATTCTTTTCTGTGTTTCCTGTGGTTTTTTTATTTGCATATTATATGAAAACACCTGAAGCAGATAGGAAACTGAGATGAGTATGAAAACCAGCTTGAATGTTTTACTAATGAGAGTTTTCCAAATTTCTAGGAGAATGTCTGGATCAGTTTCAACAGTTTGTCATCAGTCACAGGGATTAGTACTAATTCTAGAAGAAGGAGACTCATTGCCAAAGAATAATTACGGCCCATATACTTTCACTCTCTTTCACAGTAGATATGTCCAGTTACCTGATCATCTTTGACAAGATTATTGGAGCATATGTTAGTGATTTCAATAATAAAAATATTCATAAGATAATGCTCCTGATAAGAATTTGTGCAAGTAATCTTCTGCATCCATATTTACCTGCTACGGCAAACAAATTTTATTCAAGATATTCCTACTTTTTGGAAATTTCATACTTGAGAGATGGGTAATTATAGAATAGATATTTGTTTTAGCAAAAATAACTCCATTCATAGTTAACCATCAAATGTGTGATAAATCCAACATCTGCCGTCATAGTGCTACTCAGCCTCTAGTAGACATTATAACTGTGCTAATACCTTACATCTAAATGTTGTCAGAAACAGAGTGTTCTAAACCAACTCCAGTTCTGAATCATCAATTTCCATATCTAGAATTTCAAGCCTATTCATTTTGCATTGTTTTTACTGCACTTACATATTTTTTCCCACAGGGTAGTTAGTTCCCCTCTCCTTGACCTGCTTTTTTTTTTTTTTTTTTCAGCTAAACTAGTGCTTTTGGTATTACATACTAGCTGTGAAATAGCTTTATTTGAGTGCTAGGTGTCTTGTCCCGAGAGAGCAGCAGATCTCATGAAAATATACATCAGCTGGATTGTTGCTCTTTACCCCCTCGTTCCCTTCTCCTCCAATGAGTAAGTACAACTTGGTAATGAAGATAAGTTTGTAGTCATGAGTCCTGTCTTTCAAATTGAGCTAGCTTGAGCGTGGGCTGCCAGATACTGTCCAAAATGCTTGATGATCTTTACCTGTAGTAGGTGATAACCCATAAACAAGTCATCATTTTCACATGCCCGTGGGACTCTTCAGGCATCTCCTCCTAGCCTGGAATCATTCCTTTCAATTGCTAGTTTTCTTCAGATTGAACATTGACATTATTTTATGTGCTATTGTTAGATTTCTATTACATTTACATTATTCTTATTCCAGTTATATTATTCTTATTCCCAATAAGTACTAGCAGTAATTCTCTTTGCCTAAGATAAAATTGTTTTATCTCCCTGTCTGGTGACTGCCCTTTAAAGATGTGAATTGTTTGTGTGAAATGACTCATACAGCTATAGTGATGGAAACTATTGGCTGTCTGAGTGAGGTAAGTCAAAGGACAAGGATAAGATGAAAAGCAGGTTACTTGTCTTTCCTGTTCAAATTTGAGTGATAAGCCAACAGCCTAGCTTTTGCACAAGATAGACTACAAAAACGTAGCAGGCAGTCATTCTAACAAACAAGATGGGGAGGAGGTGGAGGAGTCTTGACCATTCCGTCAATAATGCCTTTGTGCAGGAGGGACTTAGCTGACCAGAGAGTATTGACAGCTCCCTACTACAGAGCCTTTGATAACACATCTAATTTATTCTAATTTGCTAGTACACTAACAATTACAATGAAGAATCTAACTTGTTCCTTAAGTGGCTTTTCTTAGAAACAAAATTGCTTAATTAACATACTGAGATATTGCTTTATAGTTGCAATTGTTACACTCACTCAAATTTCTCATATAAGTTTGGTAGTATTTTCCTAGAGAATCCATCATTGCGGTAATTAAGGATAGTGAAAAATGTGGAATGACTCTCAGTTGCAGGTTAAAAAACATGTCCATAGTTGAGCTGTGTCTGGATGTTGATCTTTGTAGCCAAAAGAAGCCCAGAAGAGAACTGAGTCCTTCCTGCACTGTTAGCTGTCATTTGCAAAGGAAGCTTAGCCACTCCTGCCTATAATTTTTTTTGCTGGAAATCTTATCTTGCTGTTACTGGTACCTAAGGGTGGTAAGTTGATTGTCTATCTCTTTAGCCTCAACCTGAAGGAGCAGTAGCTAGTTTTTCAGTTGGCCCTTGCCTTTAATCTCTGTCCATTTTGATCAGGGTGTTTCCATCAGGAATGAAAGTTCCTGCTAGCACAGGCTAGAGGTTCCATGCTTAGGTGTTGCTCAGAAAATTAGTGAGGTGAGGAGGCTAAATATGGGATAATGTGTATGTATGATGCAGGATATTGCCCCTATATATTCCAATTACCCATGGCTGACAACTATCTGTTGTCATTCATGGTGTAGCTCTGTCATTAGGGCTCATTTCCTTACTCTGATATCCTTACATATATTTTGTATGGCAAAGTGCCAGTTGCAAGAGGGAGCAGCAGACATGCTGTCTGAATTGTGCACTGAATAGTACTGAACTTGATGTAGAAAAAAAAGAGGACTGGGTAAGTAGGCCAGGAATGAAAGGGAGAATGATAAGATACAGGATCTGGAGCAAAAGAACTGAGACTAGGGAACAGTTTGCTGAATGCAAAAATAGGAATAGAAGTGAAACAAGAATAATGAGAAACTACTAGGAGGAGAAGCAAAGAAAGGAGAATTGTAGAATAATAACAGATAGAAATTGGGTTGAGAAAGGAGAGAATAAGAAAGGAAACAGGGGTGATGTAAAGGCAAAAGACATAGGAGAAAAGTCAGCCCTAGTGGACCAGATATTCCACAGTGAGTAGAACCAGTAGAAAAGCACAATGTTTTGACAGTAGGGCTCTCTGGTGGCAAGCCCTTTTGCCTCTGCAGGTGTATAGAAGAGAAGTCTCAAAGAGTTATCCTCTCTGTAATCAGCCAACCAAAAACTGCATGCAAGGGGGACAGAGGGACTTCTCTGGTGCCTCGATGTTGTCTGTCTTAGCGACTGTTCTGCTTCTCCACTGTTCTTTCAAGTGGCCTGAATTTATGCCGTCCTTCTGAAGTCAGCGAAAGTGGCAAGTGCTGATGCTCTCGTAGGTCCACTGTGTTCTGTGATATTTATACCCAGATCTTGGACCTTCCTGCACCTCTGTCTCTAAGGACACTAAAAGATGGTAGGCATTTCAGCTGAAGGAGCATTTGTAATGGCTACAAGCAACTGCATACTTGTTACGCTGCTGAAAAGTGTTCTGTAGCGACACAAACATTATTCAGTGGGGTGCGGTGCCAATTGGCTTTGCAGTCTTTGGACATTTACTGTTCAGTCAGTCGCCAGGCTGGAGCAATGGGACTCCCTGCCAAACAAAGGGCTCTGAACTCTCACTGAGGTCGTTTGTTTTCAGGATTGGACTTCTAATGCTTTCTCACTCCAGTGGGAGCTGCTGATAATGCCACAATAAAGCAGGGATGCTGAATCTAAAGTACATATCAACTGAAAAGAATTAACTCATTATGCTCATTTATCACAACAAGCAGAAAACATTATTACCCATGCAACATAAACACTAACACTTGGAAGATAATTATAAGATGGAATATGCACATTTAGAAATTTAGGGATGTAAATATGTGCAGGAAAAGACTCAAGCCAACACTTGCAAAATATGGATTATTCAACATC